CTCCCCGCGAGATGCTCCAAGTTGGTTCTTTAGAAGAATGCTCATGTTAAAATGAACAACTCAATGCCTTGGGTTTTAATGGTAAGAAAGGTTATTTTTTAGTCTAAAAAAGACAGTGGTGTGATCTTATTGACTCAAAGAAAGGTATGAGTATATCAAAAAGATAAAGGCAATGTTCAAGAATTTCAAAAGGATGTAATGTCAAAATTTTATCTTTTGGTAATGACCATGAGTTGTTTTGGGCAAAGAATCAAGGTATTTTATTCTGGGGTTTGAGACAGGGTAAGAAAGGTCTAATCTTTCCATATGTCAAAAATCTATAATTCTTGAAGAATTAAAAGAATCATTAATTCATTTAATATTCGAAGAACTAAAGATTAAAATTTGTTCAATTGCTCCACCTTAGAAAGCATCATTCAATCATTTAAAAGATTAAGCAAACATGAAAGATCAAAGACGTGTTCAAACAAAACAATCCTCTAAGTGCAAATGGTATATGCCATGCCCCCTTCTTCGGCAAGCGCCTTATAGTTTTCAGAGGAATGTTTGGGGCTTCTTATATGGTAACAGCTAACAGCTTCAACATCGTAGCCCTTAGGATATGAGAATTCTTTTCTTAGATCATCCTGGCAGGCTTTGTCCTACAATCAGCTGATCAGGCTCCCACTGTATTGTTTTCAGTTTTGTTTTCTTTTGATGTTACAATTTTGCTTCTATGTGGTGTCATGTGGTTAAAACCACTTCATCGAATCCTCCATGAAGAAATTTCATGTTTATGAAAATGCTTAAAAATGAAATGTAGATGCACAACGCAAAATGAAAAAAAATGCATAAAATGTTCGAGGCATTGATCCAGAAAAGTGTCCATTATTATAAATAATCCTTATTTCGACAAAAATATTTTATCTTGTAAGAGACATAAAAACAATCAAAGGTACATTCGGACTAAATCCTCTAGACCCCGAACAGCTTCCAGCAGGTTGACAAGTATTCTGTTTTCATCTGTCACTGGTTGTATGCCTTGTTGGACCATTCCAGCTTCCCTTGCCAGGCCGTATAGATGGCGAGCTACCTTCTGTACTGCGTCTCTGGCCTTCACCCTTTGTTGTGCTTGTTCCCAACGGAAACGCCACTGTAAACATCCGTCGAAGGGCATTATCTAAAGCTTGCTTGCTTGCTTCTTGAACCTATCTACAATAGCTTCTAACTCAGCTATTGTTTTGTCATCTCTCTCATGTTGTTTCTCCAGATCAGCCATCCAGATTCTATTGGTTTTGATGCTGACTGCCTGCTAAGCGCCTCTGGGCAGTCTTTATCTGTTCCTTCCAAGCTCTCTCATTCTAGTATTTAAAAGCCACTTTCGACTTGGAGTTATCCTTGACTTTATCTTGATACCCCTTTCTCAAGTCTTCGAGCTCTAAACGGACTCTTTTTGTTCTCTTTCTAGTTTGTCTGCTCAATCTTTCTGAGAGTCGGCATCTAGATTCCACTGATAGCGCTCAGCCTCAAGTTCCTTTATCCTCTTCCCCAGCTCATTGTTCACAGCTTCAAACTCTATTTTGGCTATCTCAAGTCCAGAAGGGACATGCCTGAGATACTCCTCCATGGTCCGTGTGTCCTCACAGTTTGACACCAGGGTGTTGTCATTTTTTCGCAATCTTCACCACTCTAAATAGTCTGGGGTAAGCATGTCTTTAGCAGCCACAATATCCATCCGTAACACTTTCTTCCATGAATCGACAATCTCTTTGATCTTCTCCTTATAACTGTCACCGTGATACTCAAACTCTGATTTAGCTAGTCTGCATGTTGCTGGGACAAACTGACGTGCCCCATAATGTCTAAGTGCTAACAATGGAGCATACCCAACTGCATCCCAAAGTTCAGGTAAGGTCATAGTGTCAGAGTCCCCACATTGGAAAAGAACGTCACTGAGGAACAACCATGGGGCTCTCCAAGTAATATCTCGGTCTTGATAGATGAGTGAAGACTTTCATCCACTTCTCTTTTGAAGTTCCTTCATGCCATTTCATGGTGATGAACTCTCTCAAAGGTGAATACATAGTTCTAAATCGGCGGTAGGCAACCCCATTATTCTTCCAGAAGTGGCTGTGAATCCAGACTTGAAGGAGCTGAACACATCCAATGAATCTACCTCTGTCAGCTCTTCGGTAATGGTTGAGAGACCGAAAGGTCTCGGCTAAGATGGTTGGTGCTGGGTTGACCCGTTTCGGAAGTTGCTTAAACAGTTCCACTATGGCTGCATCAATGCATCCCAAAATCTTCGGAAAGATGATCAAACCATACATACCTAGTGCAAAAAAAGGTCTATAGTCTTCCATTCATCAGGGTGGTCATTCATTAGTTTCCTTATGTGGATCCACTCAACCAAGGCTCTGATTAAGGGTTCATCGGTCTTAACATGAAGCAAAAGTGCAATGTCACCATATCGTTGACTGAACTTCTTTTTCCAATCATTCTTCCAACTGCCCCAGATGTCCCGAAGCTCTTGCATGTCGTTCTGCTTTAGGCTAATAGAGGCGTAGCTAACCAGTTCTGACACATAGCTTTCTTGAAGACTGTCTCCCTTTTCCTTCTGAGTCTTCTCGGACCATAGTCGTACGTCGGGGTTTTTAATCTCTTGTATTACAACACCTTTATCCATTAATTCAGATTATTTTGTGTAACAAATACCTTTTTAGGGATCAATGGCCTCTTGTTATGATGCAAATGATGAAAACAAAATAAAAGAGGACAAAATAAAAAAATTAGTGAGGTAAATCAAAATAATAAAATGAAAAATCCTACCCCCACATGATATCTACCCGAACATGCTTAGTATTCCTACTCGGACATGATCTCTATCCTGCATGCTAATTTCAAACAAAATCCTAACCGCATATTTGTCTAGTTCATATGCTTTGAACAAAAAGTAAAGCATGAAATAATTCTGGCATCCTAGGGTTTGAAATGAGGTTTTGGGATAGGCTCTAATTCTTCAAAGTCTCCCGGTTTAGGTGCTAAAAAATGGTACCCGAGTTCTCCTTGCTGGTGCCCCCTTGGGCTTGTCAGACCCTTAGTCCTAAACTCATCACAGGCTTGTGTGGACTAAATTAAACTCGAGAGGACACATTCCCTTATGTCTATGCGGAGAATAAATTCACACGAAGACATAAGGTATATAAATCCCGAATGTTACTTGCTAGGCATATGCGGTGAATAAATTCACACGAATGTGTCGCTTTCACCCCCACTTAAAACGGGTTCAGAGCTCGGGTTTAGAGCCTTAGATGAAAAAAGACTTTAATGGCTGAAATCATTGAGAAAACGGTTAGTACAACTATTTACTCGAAAAAATATAATCAAAAGTAAGCAATAAGGATCGAAATGTTACCTTAAAATTTAAACTTACCATTTTCGTTAAAAAGACAACAGAAAATTACCTTAGCCTGACTCACTTGAGAATCCCCAGCGGAGTCGCCAAGCTGTCGCAACCGTATTTCGGTTGGGCCCCGGGATTGGGCTTCGACTTGAAAAATGTGGATTGGGAGTCGTCACCGATCATTTATTTAAAAATAAATGGCTTGATTGGATACCCTATTTCTTACCTGATCTGCGTCTTACCAGAAATATGTCGGGCTCGGGAGTCGGTTACGGTCAAGGAAGGATTAGCACCCTTGAACCGCTCTTTCGGTACTACGTAATTTCCAGTTGTCTTAATTAAGAAAATTGTAATTTTAAATTAAAAGGTAAAATTTGATCATGAATTACTTACCTCTGATTAATTGACGAAAATACCCTTAAAAAGTCATAAGATGTGTTAGAGGGAAAAAATGAAAAAATGAAGAATAAAAATAAGTAAAAAAAATAAAAGGAAAAATAAATAAATAAATAAATAAATGAAATATTAAAATATATATATATAAATGAGTAAAATAGAAAAATAATAATCATAACAATAATAATAATAATATGAAAATATAATATAATATAAATAAAAAAACCAAAAACAAAAATAAATAAATATATAAACCAAATATAAAAGTATACATATAATGATAATTGGCTTATAAATAAACTATTAAAAATATACATATATACGTATAATGATAAAGTAAAAAAAACTAAATAAAGATAATTACAATATATATATATATATAGTAATAATACGCTTATAAGTAAAATATTTAAAAAACATTATATATATATATATATATATATATAAATAATAAATATAGTATTAAAAATAATCAAATGAATATAAATAAATAAAGAATATATGTATATATATAATAATAATATATAGTGTAAAAAATCAATTGAAAATCATTTAAAAAAACATACGAATATATATTTATATAATGACAATAATGTAAATAATAAATAAATAAAAATATCTATACAATAAATAAAAGGATTAATATAAAGAAAAATAAAGATTGGGGTCAAATTTGAAAGACAATTAACGTTGATATTACGCATTAGGTGGATAAAAAAATGAACACACCTCGGGGTAGATCTAGGTTCGAAACTTCGAAACCCCACCCATTTTTGGTCATCGGCGCAACCCACGTTTTGGGTTATTCGAACCAAATCTCAAAAAAATAACGTGCACATGCGATAAATGAACGAATCAAAAAAATGCTACATTTTATTTCTTTTTCGAATCGTTTACAATATCTTTGCCTTTATATTTTCTGTGTTTTACTCTATATTTTTTCTGTAAATCGTGTGTTACAATAGTGAGTTACAATGGTTATTTATAGTACTTGTGGATCATATCTTTAGGAGTTTAAATCATAGTAGAACTCTATCATATTTTTATGAGTTTGAATCCTAGTAAAATTCTATCCTAGTTTTAAGAGTTTGAATCCTAGTAGGACGAAAAGGTGCGTTGACACTCTACCTTTGTCCATGTTGGAGGTAATCCTTATCCATGTCAATTCATTTGTTTATTCCTTCTGGTTTCTGATTTTCCTTGCTTTCATTCAATTATCCAGAATGCTCAGACAAATACCTCGAATGGACTCAGCCTGGTAGACCATTTCGTTTCCGATCGTATTCCCGAAACACCGAACCAGCTTTCCAAGGAGATGATCAGGACTATTTCAACCATATATTGTGAACTTGCAGACCCACCTTTGAATAACCATGATAACTTTTCCTCCCCCATGTCTTATTCATCATCAGTTGAGGATATGTGGAGAACCCCACTGTGTCAGAAATTCTCATCCTTCAACTTACAATTCGATAACCCTTTTAACATCGCGAAATCGAAGGGATCCAGCTGACCGACCATCGAAATGGTTAAGGTTCGAGGGATTTGCAGGGACAGCAAAACGTTACAAGATATTGAACATAAGCTGCAACATTACAGGTCACATGTTTATCAGCTGGAAGAACTTGACGCTACATGGAACATGAGGAAAAGCTAGCTTTCTGGATCAATGTACGCAATTCTCTGGAGATGGATGTAATGTTGTACATACCAATCTTCATTTTATTTAATTTTCGAGTTAGGCCCTTTAAAAATATCGATTTCGCTTTGTTCATGAAGACATATTTGGTCAACGGTGTTTCGAAACACAATCTGAAGAGATTGTCTTTGTTACTCAAGGTGAGCTTTTCTGATTATGCAATGCAAGCTTGCATTGGACAATCCTATGGATGATATTGATGATGATGATGCAGGCTGCATAATGTTGGTGGTTTCCACTAGAAAACGTTTTTTATTGGATGAATGATCCAATTTGACAACACTTTGTGTGTCTAATTGTCAAAGCCATCAACACAAAGCTACCAAAACAATGGCAGGCCCCTGGTTTTGAAACTCTATGGCATAGCTTATGGTGGTTTGCAACAGAAGTTGGCTCCTCAGGGGCTTGAAAAGATAATATTTATCTTTACAGGGACTGGTATATAAATTACTGCAGAGATCACAACTATGGAAAAATCAGACATTTCTGCAGAGTGCTTGAACAACAACAATGGCTGCCTATGAAGGGGAAGTATTCACTGAAGAGCAAGAAGCTCTGGTTGTCAAATCATGGACTGTGATGAAGAACTCAGCTGAATTGGGTCTTAAGTTCTTTTTGAAGTAAGCATTTTTTCTTGAATTATTTCTTTACTTGTTTTGTTTTTGTTTTAGTATAATAATCATAAATGTCCTTAATCCTTTTTTATTGTATTTTCTCCCCTTAATACTTTGTTTTGGAAAAAAAATGTGACTACATGACTGAAAATCCTTAGTTATTTAGTACCAAAACTATCAGTTTTAGTCTCTAATCTTTCAATTTTTTCAAAATCGTTAGTTTTTGTTTCATTTTAGTATCATGCCGTTAAAAACTTTAATTTTTGTTTCATTTTAATACTCCGTTCAAAATTTAACGTTTAGTTTTGAACAAAATGAAAGTTTAGTACAAAACGGACTAAAACTGATAGTTTAGGTACTAAACACATTAAATTTTAATAGAGGGGTGCTAAATGAAATGAAAACTAAACATTAGGTATGATTTTGAAAAAAATGAAAGTTTAGGTACTAAAACAAGCCAAAATCGATAGTTTAGGTATTAAATGTGTAATTTTCCCTAAAATAAAATCTAGAGAGTATATTTCATTTTAGCACCCGTCGTTAAACGTTTTAGTTTTTGTTTCATTTTAGTACACTATTCAAAATTTAACGTTGAGTTTTGAACAAAATGAAAATTATGTATTAAAACATACCAAAATTGATAGCTTAGGTACTAAACACATTAAGTTTTTAACAGAGGGTACTAAAATGAAATGAAAATTAAATATAACTTTAAAAAAATTGGAAGTTTTTATACTAAAACAGGCTAAAAATGATAGTTTAGGTATTAAATGTTTAATTTACCCTAAAATAAAATGTAGAGAGTATGTTTCATTTTAACAGCCGTCATTAAAAACTTTTTTTTTCATTTTAATATCTCGTTCAAAATTTAACATTGAGTTTTGAACAAAATGAAAGTTTAGTACAAAACGGACCAAAAGAGTTAGTTTAAGTACTAAATACATAAGTTTTTAACAGTTGGTACTAAATAAAATAAAAACTAAACGTTAGATATGATTTTGAAAAATTCAAAGTTTAGGAATTAAAACAGACCAAAATCGATAGTTTAAGTATTAAATGTGTAATTTACCCTAAAATAAAATATAGAGAGTATGTTTTATTTTAGCTCCCGTCATTAAAAACTTTTTTTTCATTTTAGTATCCCGTTCAAAATTTAACGTTGAGTTTTGAATAAAAAAGAAATTTAGATACTAAAACAAGCCAAAATTGATAGTATATGTATTAAATGTGTAATTTGCCCTAAAATAAAATGTAGAGATCATGTTTCATTTTAGCCCGTCATTAAAAAAATTTAGTTTTTGTTTCATTTTAGTACCATATTCAAAATTTAACGTTGAGTTTTGAACAAAATGAAAATTTATGTACTAAAGCATACAAAAACTGATAGTTTTGGTACTAAACACATTAAGTTTTTAACAGCGGAATATTAAAATGAAATGAAAACTAAGCGTTGGGTATAATTTTGAAAAAAATTAAAAATTTTGATACTAAAACATGTCAAAATTGATAGTTTATGTACTAAATTTGTAATTTACTCTAAAATAGAATGTATAAACCAAAATAATCCAAAAAGAAAAAAAAGGTGAAAGTAATTATTTAATCAAACATAGCCTTTTTGTCTTAAAAAGTATTAGATGCTAATTTTTTTTAAAGACTTAAGGGTCATCTTTGTTCTTGTAGTATGCTCAATTTATCATTTTTACCCCTATTGTATGTTTACATCAATTTAATCCTCAAAGTTATTTAATTGCATCATTTTATACCTTATTCCTACTTAAAATCCTATGTTATAAGCCTTAAGTTAAGACTTAGGGTTTATGGGGTTATAGTTTAAGATTTATAATTTAAGGTTTTAAGATAGGGGTAGAATGATGCAATTGAACAACTTCGAGGATTGAATTGATGTGAAAATACGATATAAGCAAAAGTGATAAGTTGAATATATTACAAGGACAAAAATTACCATTTTGTTTATTTTTTTAACGTTATGCCTTTTGTTTTTAATTAAGATTTTGAATGAGCGGTGCAGGATTTTTGAGATTGCACCCTCAGGCAAGAAGCTGTTTTCATTCATGAGATCTCGGATGTTCCATTGGAGCAAAACACAAAGCTCAAGCCCCATGCCATGTCTGTCTTTGTCATGGTAAGTACCGGACCAATTAGTGAAATCATAAGTAGAACGATTAAATTATTGTTACGAGCGTGTCGACGTTGCAGACATGCGAGTCCGCAGTCCAACTCCGTAAAGCCGGCAGAGTTACAGTGAGGGAGACGACTTTGAAGAAGCTGGGGGCACCCACTTCAAATACGGTGTAGTAGACGAACATTTTGAGGTGACGAAGTTCTCTTTGTCGGAGACCATAAAGGAAGCGGTTCCGGAAATGTGGTCGGCCAAGAAGAATAATGCATGGGGTGAGGCATATGATCGTTTGGTTGTGGCCATCAAGGCGGAAATGGTGGCCTGCTCTCAAGCTTAAAGTGGTTCTTAGATTGGGTTCGATTAGGTTTCAAGTTTCAACGATTTAAGGCTCTGGTGATAACATAGTTATTGCTGATTGTTTCTGGGTTTTTCTGTGTTCAATGAAGATAGTAGGCATGTTCAAGGGCCGGATTTTTTTTCGAGAGGATTTAAACAAAACTATCGACAAATGAAAATATATAAACGGATCTAAACAGACGTGGATTAACCAATAATCAAAACCGAAATACTATCAGATGATCAGATAAATGCATATTCAAGTATATATGTCAAGTTTCTTTTCTTCAATATAAGACTAACAGGCAAGAACAAAAAAAACCTATTGTGATTGCACTTCGGCCTCGTACTAAAGCAAGAACGAACCCGTAACTTGCATACTCCTTTATGTTCTAATCAAGTTCTCTCCTTGTAGACCCACTGCACCATAAACCGGGGGGAAATCAGCAACAAACTATACAAAACGACGAGGGACACAAGCTAAGGGCATTAACAATACTTCATCATCTAAAAGATAAGTCAAGTGTGGCTGAAATCGGTTTTCCCAACCACTAAATTCAAATCGAAAGGCACTGATTTTAGGTGCACTTGACAGATCATCTTATGCCACGATCAGAATTCTGTTTTGATTGGCACCATATAAGTTGTCATCGATGCAGGCATGTAATCATAAACAACTGGACACGAAGCAACTAATTTCGATAACAATATCATTCGGGACAAACGAAATGAAAATGGGGATTCATTTACAGCTATACAGGTTTACTTAATAACCAGTTGTCATACTATTTGGCACGGGAAAGGCACTCACTCAAGCACACTTATGTAAATGGATACAAAGAATGGATTTCGTAGCTATTGTAACACACTCGACTAGTAACGAGACGATAATACCAACTTTTAAGGAAATTAAACAGATCGATGTACCCCAAGCCAATGAATATACTCCAAATAATAAACAAAAATGACAATGAGGGAACTGAAACTGCCTTTTGAGGGCAATCATACTCCATCTATAGGACAATGCATCCTGGTCTAGCTTCCTATAAAGGGACCAAACCACATAAAGTTTGGGATTTGGGAATAGCAATTTAGGTCCCTCTCAGAGTCTCAGTTCAATGTTTAGGTTTAAATACTTAATAGGTCCTTGCTCTTTCAAAGTTAAGATTTTTGGCCCCTCCAAATGTTCATCCTAGTTCAATGGCTGTTCCAATGGACAAACAAAATGCCATAAAGATACCCATACCAAAACATCTCCTTCCATTTGCCATCACCCAGATTATCTCCATAAACATGTATTAAGCATACAAAACCTATCTTAGACAAACACAAAAATTGGTATTTAACCCAGATAGTAACAATTCGTAGCAGTAAAAACCCAGATAGAAAACAATACCCAGACCCCAAAATTGGGCTGAGTCGAAGCCTTTAAATTACCTGAGTCTAGAACTCGAGCTTGAGCTCATCTTTTTCATCGGAGAGGTAATGGAGAACGTAAGGGGTGACACGAACCACGGCTACCCAGACCCCAAACATAGCCACGTGCGCCTTCAGCTGCTTCAAGGCCGCCGCCTTGTCGGGTTTGCGCATAAACATTCCTGGGAACATCGCTGCTTCTGTTTTGGGTTGTGCTGTGCTTTTTGATTTAGAGTCTGGGTCGATGGAGGTAGAAGCTTAAACCCTAGCCGCTATAGGGTTTAATGCTATATAGAGGAAGCCATGTGGCACATGACTCTTTTGCCCTCCAAGTTTTCTTTTATTTTATATCCACGTGTATATTCGGATTAATTCGGTAAATCTGGGCTGATAATGTGATGGATAAAAAAAAAGAGAAAATAACCGCAGTGACCAAAAATGCCTTATAATATACGATTTAAATCAATTTTTTTGGATTTGCCAAAATGACCAACTAAATCGCAATGCGATCGATAATTCGCAATGCGATCGATAATTCGCAACGCGATCTCCGGTATCGCAAATTAGTTTCCAGATTCGCAACGCGATTCTGATTATCGCATTGCGATTTTCTAAATTCGCGTTGCGATTTTCTGACTATCACAGTGTGAATATGTAAATCGCAATGCGAGTATGACTATCGCAAAGCGATTCTCACTATCGCAACGAGATTTTGACTATCGCAACGCGATTTCTGACTATCGTAACGCGATGCTGACTATCGCAATGCGATTTTCAAAGCGCCATTATTATCACAACGTGTATTTTTTTCAAATTCCAAACACGAATATTAATATATCGGAACACTGAACCGTCCACAGTATATCCCGTAATCGCAACTCATAACCTAAAACACTAAATCACAACTCAGTCTCATCTCCATCTCTCACTCTCTAAGGCGATATACGTCCCCATCTCCGACGAAATCAGTCCCCATCTCCGGCGAAATCCGTCTATCTCTATCTCTCAGAGCCACCCTCACAATCATTCACGATCAGAAATGGAAAATCAACCAAATTAACCACCGATGGTTAGTTTTTTTAATTATTTTTATTTTGAAATTTTTACATTATTATTAGGTTTTGCATATTGAAATTGATGATAAGTTTACTGGTAATTTCAATAATAGATTAACCATTTCATTTAGATTGCTTATTAAATTCATTTGATTGCTGCCAATACTGCTAAACTGTTTAGTCTTTAAACCCTGTGAATTTAATATTTATCTTTGTTTTGTCTTTTGGTTAAAGTAATGCAATCCATTCAAGTTTCAATTTTAGTATTTGAAACCGAGAATCGCAACGCGAAATGAAAATCGCAACGACAGAATCGCAATGCGATTTTAGTTTCGCGTTGCGATTTTCATTTCGCGTTGCGATAGTCAAATTCGCGTTGCGATAGTCATTTTCGTGTTGCGATTTTAAGTTTCAGAAACTATTCTTCTTCTGCAAATTGAAACTTGAATGAATTGCATTACTTCAACAAAAAAACAAAGACAAATACTAAATTCACAGTGTTGCAAATTTAAGTTTGAAGAATAAACTACTACTCTTTATGTTTATTGTTCTTGGTATATCTTCACAGTGTAGATTTTGGTATATTTAACTTGGTATGTTTATTGTTTTTGTAGAACTTTTATTCGGCTCAATTGACCTTAAGAAATAAATTAAGCCTGGCCAAAACAATTGCGTCGAAGCTTTCACCTGCACAAAGAAAAATATTTGAGGATACTTGCTTCGGGCCATGGCTGAAAGTACAACATCCGGGTGGAGATGCTATATTGACCCATCTGTTTCTTCAAACCATGACTAGCGATCTACCAGAGACTATACAGCGTCGTGATGAAGAGATATGGTTTGATTTTCCACCGGCGTATACGTGTTTTGGGCGGGATGAGTTTTGCTTAATCACCGGTCTACGCTTCGGACACGATGATGTAGGTCGGTACACTAGACATATTACCCGTCTATCATGGTTATCCCGAGTTTTTCCTGAGCTGTCAATGGAGAAGCCGAATTTACACGTGGAAGACTTGACGAGATTATTGAATAAGAAAGATGGTTTTACTCGGATGGATGACGTCGATGTTGTCCGAGTATGCCTTCTAATACTTTTGCATGCCGGCTTTTTAGGCAGAGAGGCCAGACAACCTATTCCTAATGATCTAATTAAATTGGTAGAGGACCTAAATGCATGAAACATGTTTCCGTGGGGTTCGTATCTATGGAAAGCTACATGGAATAAGTTGTCGTCTGCCTTTGATGATCGAAAAAGTTTGCGTGGCGATGGTTCCAAATACACTTTGTCAGGCTTTATTTGGGCCTTTAAGGTAAGAATTTTTATATAATGTTTCCAAAATTATAATTAATTATTATTTAACAATTACTAATGTTTGTTATTATATTGTTTGTAGATTTGGATATTTGAGGCCTTTCTCGCCATGCAGACATATGCATTAAAAACTACTAATGATATTCCTAGGGCTATTTCCTGGAAGAGGAAACGGACCTTGCAGCAATGGGAAGATTTACTGCCGTATACGACAATAAATAATGTAAGTTAACACAAATACTAACATATGTTTATAAACAAGTTATTACTAGTACACGTTTAACTTTGTTTGAGCTTTTATATTGTTAGGAGTCCAACACTCCATTACAGAGGCTGACATCCACGGAAGTTGAGCTTTCCACTGATTGGTGGCAAGCTAGTAAGCGTTTTTTTGATGGCACGGATGATGAGCAGCCTCCACTTCGAGAGCCATCACCTCACCCAGAGCCATCACCTGATCGACCCGACTATATACCTCCACAACGAGAGCCATCACCTATTCTGTCACATCATCGAGCCTCTTCTCCACCATCACCTCATGATAGGCGACCGACAAAGATGCCACGACGTTTATCTCCTTGTTCTCCACCTCCACCTCCACGGGATGAGTTAGGGGAGTTACGTGATGAGGTCAATGCCTTGCGTGAGGAGGTCGGTACTTTACGCGATGACAATGGTGCATGGCGTGTTGAGGTGTCTACTTTACGTGGTGAGGTAGCCGCTCTACGTGAGATGGTAGCATCGTTGCAGAATGAGGTTCATACTTTATGCAATGAGGTAAGTTTAATATTTTTCATATTTAACTTGATGATAAATTTACTCGTAATTTCACTTAGATTAACCATTTCACTTAGATTTCTTAGTAAATTCATTCGGTTGCTGCCAATACTGCTAAACTGTTTATTCTTTAACCCTGTGAAGTTAGTATTTGTTTTTGGTTGTCTTTTGGTTGAAGTAATGCAATCCATTCAAGTTTCAATTTGCAGAAGAAGAATAGTTTACTTTCGCAACGCGAATTTGACTATCGCAACGAAATAATCGCAATGCAAAATGAAAATCGCATTGTGATTCTCTCGTTGCGATAGTCATTTTCGCGTTGCGATAGTCATTTTCGCGTTGTGATAGTCATTTTCGCGTTGCGATAGTCATTCGTGTTGCGATTTTAAGTTTCAGATTCTATTCTTCTTCTGCAAATTGAAACTTGATTGAATTGCATTATTTCAACCAAAAGACAAAGACAAATACTAACTTCACAGTGTTGAAAATTTAAGTTTCAAGAATAAACTACTACTCTTTATGTTGTCATTGAACCTGAACTAAACCTATATGTTGTCCTTTTAAATGTTTATATAAGTGATTACTTCTGGAATGTTATCTGATGCATTTTATGAACAATGATAGAATAATGACTTAGGTGAATACCGTGCAAGTTTGAAATATATTTGTCTTTGTTTTCACTGTTTAATATCATGTCTGTTTATTTACTGATTTATGTATTAATTTATTTTTAGCGGCCCGCTAAGGTGGATGCTCTACGTCGGGTTTTTCTTGCCAGATGGAGTTCACGCATCAGACGGTGTGCACGTGCCATTAAGTCTCCATTCACCCTAATAGTGCGAAGAATCCGTAAAAAAAAGCCCGACTCACCTGTCATCGTTCAAGAGGCCTCCCCTATCGTTCAAGAGGCCCCTATCATCCCTCAAGAGTCCCCTCCCACCGTTCAAGAGGCCACTGTCATCGTTGAAGAGGTCCCTCCCAACATTCTAGAGCCCGATTCACACGGCATAATATATGGAATTATTGAGAAACCCCCTCACGTGCCGGACATGATGGATGACTGTTGGCTTTCGTATAAGTTACCGGCCAATACCATTCCGGCAGATGAACTGGAGAAGAAACAACTACCGGAAACAATTCTGGATAATACCCTTTGGGCTAAGACCGCAGTTGATTTTTATCTACATGAGCGGAGCCAAGGGTGTTACGCTGACATATACAAACTCAACGATGATATGCATTTGTTGATTGAACGGTCTTGGTGGGGTGTGTTATTAGGGGTTGAAGACAATGGCTATTTCGATGGGGGGTAAGTCTTATATTTTTTTTTATATTTCATTTTGATTAATTTTTTTTTAAATTTATGTAATTCACTAATATATGTCTTTTTTTGTAAAACAGCATATTGATGCATGGGTGTCACGTCTTCTAATAGTAAGGGCTTTGAAGAAAAAAAAATACGCGATATACAATTATGCCGACGTCTTTTCACGTAGTTCACTTGAAGAATCAACGACAGGAATCATATGTGTTGGCTAATGGACAAGCTAAACTTTATCCTGCATGGTGGGAGGTCGATAAGGTTAGTATTTATTTTGTTTAAATATTTTAAAGGTGTTCATAAATAAGTGCGCAATTTGAATTATTACTTATGATTGCAAGTGTTTATCCCTGTTTTGGAACGTACTCATTGGCTTCTCGTCGAGCTTCAGCTCCCATCCCTGAAGACAATAGTATATGACAACATGATAAATTACATATCATTGTCTGATTTGAGAGATATTATTAAGGGATGGAGCTCTCATTTGGCTAAATTCTTGGATGCAATTAATTATTGGACTTATTCTGGAAACAAGAAGCCAAAAAAGTTCAATGTTACAGTTATCAGAGACGAGACCGCGCCACAACAAACGCCGGAAGCCAGAGGGGATTGTGATCCTCTCGTATGCATGTGCTTGGAGCGTTTGACGACAGGAAGTACACAGTTTCTACCTCTCACCAATAGAGATAGAGGTACAGTAGGCTTGTGGTTTCGGCATTTTATGGCTAGAGCGATATATTCGAGACGCTGCCTACCTGCATCCGCATTATGAAAGTGTCCATAAACA